GGGGGGAGGAGGAGCTCTACAGCTGCGCCGGAGTCCAGCCCGGCAAGCTGCAGGGGGAAGGGCTCTGGCTGCCAGAGCCCCATGCGAGCGGCTGACTTTCCTGCAGCCCTCCCAGCCGCACCTCGCTCTGCATGGGGGGGAAATCCCGGACATTTTTAGTGATTTACAAGTTCCCCCCCGGATGCTATTTTTAACACAAAAAGGAGGACATGTCCGGGTAAATCCGGACGAATGGTAACCCTAGCATACCACATTGCCAGCTGCGTGCGTGGAGACTTCCTGCACACTTGTTTGTAGCAAGGTGGAGTCACCATTTTGTGGACTCACTGTGCACTCTCCCCAGAGTGGAGAGACAGCTGCAATGAGGGCTGCAGTGAGGCAGCCAGAGAATTGCTCTGCCTTCACTGCATGGCCTGTGGGGGAATCATTCCTTCCCCCAATCATGTCAATTGTTGGATACATCTCACAACGAAAGATTTCCCCAGTATATTACATCCCAGACAAAATGCTTCTCTGAGAATAACAGAAAGACCCCAGTGTATTGCAGGAATTGTACTACTGGGGTTGATGTAATTTTGATGTGGTAAACAACTTCTTTAAAGAGACACTGTCAACTAATCTGAGACTAGAGTCTAATCAGTTATAGTGGTGTAAATCCAGTGACTTCAATGGAATTATTCTGGACATATATTGGCATCCCTGAGATCAGAAACTGGTCCAATGCTTTAAAAGAAACCCACCTTGTATAAATGTCCTTTGTCTTGACTTTTAGATTGAAGACATGATAAATGAAGTCAAATTTAGTGAGTACGTGCACACTGGAAAACAAGTTACAAATATCAATTTAGGGGATTTTATCAAACTTTATATAAATCATCGACCAGCATTTGGCCTGTCAATAAAAGAAATACAAAATGCCTTCCAAGTTCTTGGTTATGATACTGAGAATGGAGAAATCGTTATCAACAGAGAAGACTTACTGCAACAACTTCAGTGCAGAGGTGAGCATTTTCCTAACATAAGTTTTATGTTTGCTTGTTCTGCCCTTCATTTCAAAAAGTATCCATTGCAGTGAAAAGTTATCCGGAGACAAGTTTCGATAGGTGGCATGTTACCTCATCTGTCTTAGAATTTTAAATTAAGTAACCACATACGTTGTCTCAACTGGATTGTATCCTCCTGTTTGAAAATTGCTGCACACTCCAAGTATTCCATCTGCTTTCTGAAGAGCGTGGATCATGGAAAATATTATAATGCCATTATATTCATTGATCGTGTGCCCTCACCAGGAATAGTATATTCAGTTCAACTCACACGATCTCCAAAAAAGTAGTAGTAGAAATTGAAGAGAGTCCAGAAATGAGTGATGAAAATTATTAGAAGTCTGGAATGACTTCATATGAGGAGAGATTGAGAAGATTGGGATGGTTTAGTTTAGAGATGAGGTGAATGAGAGGGAACGTGATAAAGATATTCAAAATTAATGGCATTGGCACAGAGAAGGTAAATTAGTTACTTCTATATTCCCTCTCTTATTATAAGAACAAGACAGCACCCAAGTCAGTTGAAAAACAGCAAATTTAAAATGGATAAGAGGAAATACTGTTTTAACCCACACGTTGTCAACCTGTAGAACTCATTGCCGCATGGTGTCATTGAGGTAAAGGTCTTACCAGGAGGTTAAAAAGGATTAGACACACACGGATGATGAGAACATCCACAGATACATGACATAGGATAAAACATTTTTAAAAAGGGATATAAATCCTCACGCTTCAGGGCATAAACCACTGACTGATGGAGGTTAGGAATAAACTCCTATGTGCAGGCTGTTCTGTAATAGTTGACTAAATGTTTTCTTGCACCTTCCTCTGAATTACTGTGGCGCTGGCTGCTGCCAGTAGACCACTGATCTGAGCTGGAAATTCCTATGAAAAGGAAGAGTGAAAACTGCTGTAGGTGCAACTGGGCCCAACAAGTCAGATCCAGTAGCCTTTCCCCCTCCCAGAAACCTAATTTATATGCCAAAAACTCATGTCGTTCACAAGAACAAATTTCTCTTGGATCAAATTTCTTGCACTGTGATCATGCATTCTGAATGGTGGTACTAGCTACCCCCTGGAGGAACCCAAACCATCCTATTTTGTCCTTATGCCATTCTTGCTAGATATGTTTGTGCTGAGTTTGTGTTAATGAGAGAGCTTAGAGATTGTGTTTTTGCTTTGTGTGTGTAGGGGAGCATATGACAGAGGAGGAGCTGGCAGAGTGTCTTACCACCCTGTTGGGCGTGAATCCAGAGGGTGGGAGATCTGAGCTGGGCATCTATGATCCCTCAGGTACAGGATTAATGTTCTATGAAACACAGAAATAAGATTGCTTCAATTCCTTTAATATAATAATTAAACTGCAAATCCTATTAACCTTGTTACTCCAATAGCTGTTACAAATGTTCAGCTGGGATTGCAAAATATAGTCACAGGGCCAAATACTGTCCTTGGTCCATGCACTTAACTTCCACTGATATTGGAGAAAAGTTCTACTGCAGACTGAAACTCATATATATTTAAATGGCCAGTGAAATGTAACAATTTCCTTGACTACATTACATTACTGTTTATCTGCTGTCTAGGAATGGAAACTGGAGATATTTGCTGGAGGGCTCACCCACTGTTGTGATCCACAGGCAAAGCAGAATCTTATAATATGCAAATTCTTTTCAGTTCCTTGCAGAGTTGTCCATTGTAATTGGAACTCCTGACTTCTGCCATATTCATGTAGTTTCTGAAACGAGTGTCCCAATCCCTAAGTGTCTACAATAACATCCAGTTGGGGTTTTCCACAACTGATGTATGCCTACTGAAGGTGCATCTCCTGGAGGGAACAGCTTAGTGGTGTAAACACCAGGTTTGAAATACCTGGATTCCTTGGAACCCTAGATTAAAATCAAATCACAGCAGGATAGAAAGAGGACTTTGTCCTTCCGAAGTAGATACAGTGAGTGTTGTGCAGTTTACTGGGTGTGGGTCTTACAGATGAGATCTTACTAACCAAGGACCAGTCCATTCTGCATAGATGTTAAAGGTCCCAAGTCATTTTTCATAAGGATCTGGGCCTAAATATGTTCTTTTAGGCCTAAATTACTTGAAACAGAAAATGAATATTGTTATTAAAGCAACTGAGTGGAGTCTGCAGATATCTGAATAACAGTATTCAAAATGCAGCATGCTCAAGATGGCTTTGTAACCATCTTCAAGAAAATCATGGATATGTAACAGGAAAAAAAGCCATGCAGGATTAGAGGAGTCAGAGATGGAATGGACAAGTATAGTGCTATAGATTGTTTAGTTTAGATCTAGTTCTCGGTGGGAGTTGAAGGTGTGCTGTACCTCACAGGATCAGTGCCTTTGTTCCATGACAGGGGACGTATTAAACTGATACTATATAAGGCCCTTTTCATGTATTTTTGTAGACATTCCATTCAACACACTGCTGCTGCCAAGTCCTATTGATCTGGAAACCTGATTGCTTTGGGGGTTGTTGTTGTTTTTTCCCCCTCCAGGTGCAGCAGCTTTGATGGAAGAAGAAATTCCTGAGGAAATCTCAGCAGAGATATTTACTGCTGATATTCTTGGCTTACCTACTTCTGAACCAGATGAAACTGAGACAGAAAAAAATTATGAACTCACAAGTAGCATAGAGTCAGCAGAGTCATAATTGCCACAGAGTTTGTAGTTTTCTACCCAGAAATGCATTTTCTGTAATCATCTTTTCTCCTCAAACCCCTGGAAAACTATATTTTTGTATTTATTATAAAATAAAGATAAAGTAAACTAAACATACCTCAAACTCTATGATGTTTCGTCAATTTACAGTGTGTCATAAAACTATAGGATTAAACACTTCACAAAGTCTGGGCCAATAGTCAAGAAGCAGTGCTACCATGGGGGAGTTCTGAGTTTGGCGATCAAGAGGACGCAGCTTACTCTGTTCCTATCAGAGGGGTAGCCGTGTTAGTCTGAATCTGTAAAAAGCAACAGAGGGTCCTGTGGCACCTTTAAGACTAACAGAAGTATTGGGAGCATAAGCTTTCGTGGGTAAGAACCTCACTTCTTCAGATGCAAGTCTGTCCCTAGGGACACCATGTATTGCTGATCAATGACCTCCAAAATGAATGCACGAAACACAGGATTGGGTTAAGTAAACTTGCTGCTAAGACTGATATCATGATATCAATCACAAATGTTGCCCTGAAGAGGTCTCTTCAGAGTGCAACATTATGGTTTTGCTCTAAATTCATCTAATGGTCCAGTGGGCCATTAGGACAATCAGGAATCACCATGGCATAAGGATGCAGAGAAAAGAGTGAAATATGAGCTGGTACAGTAGCTCTATGCCATCCACAATCCCCTGTCCTGGGAGAATCCTCCGGTGACTGGTAACATTAGCTTTAGGGCAGGTTTACACTAATGGTGTAATGCAAAGCTGCACTAATATAGTCCAGTTTTAGCATATTACAGGAAAAGCTTATTCACAAAAACTTTACAGTAAAATAGCAATTTAAATTAAGTACTATATCTGAATATACCACAGGATGAATCTTAGTGAAGGGAGCATTCTATTTTGTGATGGATTAAAAATTGGGCTTCCATTTTGCTCCTAACAACTTTGTATTTCTTTTTGGGAGTGTTAATTCCAATTAGTAGAGTAATGCCCATGGGAGAGTGTCTTACTCAGTGTTTGTATAAATAGTGTAATGGTGCCAATGCAAGTTGCTGTAGAAAGATCAGTGAGTTGTTGAACTCATTTCCTTCTTTACAGTGCCCCTCAGCATCAATGGGTCTTTGCATAATCATGTAGCCCCTTAAAAAGTGTTCCATTCAGTGGTGATGTTTATTGCATGGAGATTACTATGCTACATCACAGAAATAATGATAGTTGTGTTAGTACACATAGCAAGATATATAGCTAGTTGCACGGCAGTGAAGAGATAACGGTCAAACAACACAAATCAAAGTATTATAGAGTGTGTGACAAAGATTTCCTGAAGAGGTGTTGCTTCATATGACCTGCTCTCCAACCAGTTTTTTTTACATATATGTACATGTGTTGGGTCAGATCCTCAGATACCATAAATCAGCAGAACTCCACTGAAGTCATTAGAGATACATTGAGTTACACAGCTGAGGATCTGTCTCACTCACTGCCTATCTCATAGAGCTGGAAGGGACCTCAAAAGGTCATAGTGTCCAGCCCCCTGCCTTCACTAGCAGGACCAAGTACTGATTTTTGCCCCAGATCCTTAAGTGGCCCCCTCAAGGATTGAACTCACAACCCTGGGTTTAGCAGGCTAATGCTCAAACCACTGAGCTATCCCTCCCCCCACAAAAATTTGTATGTGATGCCCGATGAACTGGATTGTTAAATATTCTTTTCCTATTGTTTTATAAATCACATGTTGTTGAAAAAGAAATATCACTAAACAGCAAACCGCAAGTCTGCAACATAGTGCCATAACTGTTTGCACAAGGGCTAAATCAGAAACTAGTCACTCAAACAGTCTATCATCCATAAGAGAATGCACTATAGGAGTCTCAAAGATAACAAGTATTTAGTGTAATGAACACAAAGTTTAGGAACAAATGAATCTAATGTTATTACTGATTGAGCACCCTCTGTGTACTCTGTGCTACACAAATACCTGCTTATACAAAGATGTGATCCCTGCCCTCGGGGCTTACAATCTAATTTGGACACAGACAATAAGGCTCAGACATACACAAAGCAATACATCACATGATGATTCTTTAGATTTTCAGCGAGAAGAGCAGTTCAGTGCGCAGAGGCTGGCAGTCTTATTTCTAAATCCAGCTCTGACATTAACACCCTCTTTTAGAAAATTACTCCTCTGCCTCACTTTCCCTACGGTAAAAATATCTTAAACTTCTCAGAATCGTTTTGAGAATCAATTATTTCTAGAGCTTATCATCAAGCTTTCTAAAGGCTGGGGTTGTGTCTTTTGGGCATATATTTGCATATTTATATCAGAAGTATTTACAGCACTATATAAACAAATAATAATTCCTAAAAGTAGCCTTTACAGTGCTGCAATTTATTTCCACAACTTTGTTGCCCACTGGGGGAAGAGGAGTGAAGCCACAGTATTTTGCCTTTCCATAGCATCTCCCCATCTGAGATTCTCAAAACTTTCTTGCATCTGAAGAAGTGAGGTTCTTACCCACAAAAGCTTATGCTCCCAATACTTCTGTTAGTC